TTAAATTTACTAATCACAAAATATTTAGACAACGTGTAATAACTATTAATTACATTGACAAACTAATTACAAAAACAAAAATAATTAACAACGCACTACCTAATAAGCTTTTGACAACAGTTATCTCGAAAAATATCAAATAATGAAATAGACGCTTGAGTAGGTACATTTACAAATTTGCTTTATCATTTATTTTAAATTAATTTTGAATATGAATACATGGTAGACTCTATTTCAAGAATTGGAAAAAGTACAGCAGCATCATAGATGACTAAATTTCGCCAAATTTCAGTGCCGCGCCGCGATTGATAATTGTTTTTCTTTGTAGTTTGAGGTTATGTTTAGAAGAGTTAATTCGTAAATTATTTGCAATTTTTTACTATTTGAAAAAATTGCCATTTTTAATTAGTTTTTTTTACTTCAAACCAATTAGGTAATTACTTGCTGTAATACAGCTGTACTCTTTACTATTGACAAATTTATAATAATAGTTTTAAATACATAGTATAATTTAAATTTAAAGTTTACCAACACCTAAAATAGTTTTTAAAGGCCATAGCGAACCTTCAGTGATGCCTTTAACAAGTTGATTTTTAAATAGTGCTTCTTGTGGTTGAAAAACAATTTCTTTCAATAAAATATTGAAAACTGCGGGGTCACCGGCTCTCAATGCGGCAATAATCATTTTTACAAGTATCTAAAACGAAATTTAATCGTACAATATACAGGGTATTTTAGAATTTCTAATTATTAATGCCCAAAAATATATTTTCCTTTAGCATATAGGTACAAAATTAGGGATGTCAAAAATAAAAAAAAAATTAATACTAAATAAATGCTTATTCCATATAGTAAAACAAACTTTGCGGAAAACCGACAGTTTTCCAAGACAAATTGAATCTAATTTCTTGTTTACTCCGTAAAGTGTTGCCAATAGTTTAAGTTTAGTAAATAAAAAGATCAAATACCTGAATATTATTATTATTAAAAAATTCTTTAATTTTAGTTCTATAAAAATTTTAGGGCAAGGAAAATCTGCATCATCGATTAATGCGGGCGAATTTTAAATCGTTTTTATTCTTTTTTATAAATTATCGATATAATGTTGATTGCTCCAATAAAGTACAATCTATAAAAGCCATATTAGTATTAAACGTCGGCCAGGAATCTTTTTTTTATTAAGAGTTTTTTGCTAAAAATGTTCTTCGTGTAAAGTTGATTGGCTAAACTATTACATTCAATACAAACATGTTAGAAATATAGAACCAAAGACGGCAAACTCCATTTTTTTGCGAAAATGAGTGAAACACCTAGATATATAGTTTTAAACACATATAAGTGATTAAAAAAAAAAAAACGCGAAGTTAATCCTTCAAAATCCCAGTTAACTTTAATGTTGTAATTCAGGGTTAGTTTCAAACCAGGAAATCTCCACGTTCCAGTTGGGACGAAAACTGGTAAAATCCCAAATCGCCAATCAGGTTGCCGTATGAAATGATAATTTGTTAAAGATTTACCAGTTGTTTTAATTTAGCTTACTGAATACTGATTTATATTATCTGTTTACCTATTAATAATTAATAGTAATATAAGCATCCCTTTAGTATTTTGTAATAGTTAATTAGTTAATCTCGCACATATTTAGAATCAAACATGGCAATCTCCCGTTTTTCCCCTATGTCTGAAAATAATTGTAACGAATTTTTAATATTTTTAAGTCAGCATGATTCTATAAAACCGATAAATTAAAAAAAAAATAATAATAAAACCCTAAACCTTCCCAGGAGCTTAAAAACAGTTTTTTACAATTATCAAAAATTCTTAAAAATTGAGATTACCGCCTGTGGTTCTGGACCCCTCATGTTTTAGTTAATTACTATCATTTAATTTATAACACGAGCTTTACACTGTGTTTTTGTCGATAAGATATTTATTTCCTTAAAAAATATTTAGGAATTCCTTTTATTTAAGAAATATTACATAACATGGCAACGGTGGGCTTCTTGTTTGAATGTAGGCAAAATATTTTTCTACACCCACATGGATATTAGCTATCCTACGCACAGACTACAAAACGAAAAAGTACGCCACAAATATGAAATTTACCAATCATAGCTCATATTTTGGTCACCCGTACTATTATTTATTTAAATTTAAAAAATGTGATAAACTAATTGTTAATATATTTTTAAGTTATTGAGATTAAAAATATACATTAAAATGATTTATTCTTGTGTAGAATCGATAAATAATAGCATTTTTATTTTTATTTACAAATAAATCATAAATTTTAATAAATATATAAATAATAATAGCTATAAGAAATCAGTTTAATTAAGAGTATTGAAACTAAAATTTTAGCTGTGTCGATGGACTTGAGACTAGCCCATTTGGCTCTCATGCGAGAGGTTTCGAGTTTAGTTTTTTTTTTAAAGTCATAAATTATTTTTAAATAATTTAAAAATAATTATAATTAATTATTAGTTATTTTATCTTAATAACCTAAAATAATTTTTCAAATTTGTAGATTTTCGTTAGTGGGTCGTAGAAAAAATATACTGTATAACTTGATTGGATTGTCTATATCGCACTAAGTCGATTGAGCACTCACTCCGCCTACGGCGTATTGCTCCGTCTGCTGCAATATGGCCATCATATCCACCCTTGTTACACAAACTACTATTATTCTTCAGGTTTCCGACAACAAATTTCGTTAATTAAATGTTATTCAGTATGCCTTAAAGTTTTTGGGACGATATAAAAAAATTGTGTTTGTTCATCGATGTCAATAATGGCAAATAACTTTTTGATTCACTTTTTCTTTTTGAAAATTCGTGTTTCAGATGTTTTTTTTAGAATCATAATATAAAAAATGAGAGTTATTTTTAGAATACCAATTTTTTGTATAATTAAAAAATATATATATTTGAGAAAACATCTAATGATTCAGACCAAACAGACCCAATTTTTTGTATTATTTACCTCATTATCCTGTAATATTAATAATCTTTGTTGGAATCGTAAGACTTCACATTAAACTGTATGTGAAGAGTAATCTAAAGTCTAGTATGTTCAACAATCAGGGTGCAGTTGAAACGGAAGGAAAATTGTTGACACGTTAAATCTTTTTATGTAAAATATTACATTCTCATGTATTTATATAGAAAAATACAGCCATATTTTGAATACTAGGTATGATTGGAAATAAATTGGACTGATCGTTCTACAGAAAAACGGTGTGAATCTCAAGGTCAAACAGAATAAGAGCATCTTCTCTTTCTATAACTGTCATAGCAAAGGTTACGATTAGCTTAATTGTGATAATTGTATATGTGCTCATGTGTTTAAGGAGAGCAAGTGTAAAATTCCTTGTAAAAAACAGAAAATTCGCCACAGAAACGTATAATTTCTTAAAAGAAGGATTTGGAGATAAGCGTTTATGAAGTACTCAAGTTATTGAGTTTGCGCCCATAAATAACTTGCACCTCAAAAACAGACACAAATATTACAAATAACAGTGAGTTGATCCAAAACATTGTCGGTGGAGTATTTTTGTTGTTGCTAAATCCATAGAAGCCCAAAAAGAAAGTGTTAGATAAATTTGTAACAAAGAAATTCATGGTTTTGTATCAAGGTAAGGCTGCAGCGAACACTGCACTGCCAAATAGATGTTTTTGGACAAAAATTTTGATCATTTTAAAATAGAACGTCAGATAGTGACAGGTTTAGGTGCCCTATTTTTACATACAAGCTTTGAAGGGGGTTGAACAGTACATTGATTTTAAGTAGAATCTAAGGAAATTTACGAGTGGTTCCTGGGGATAACACATGGAAAATTTAATATTCCCTATTAAAAATAAAATGTTATTTGTTGCCAATATTTCCATGCAAGCCGTGTTCACTATATGATTAATTAATACAACTAGACCTCGGAAAATCAAAGGCTTTAATGTTGCAAGTGGCTAAAAGGTTGAAATAAGGGCGTAATATTCCAAAGAAAAATCAAGATTTGATCTGATCTTTCCACACAAGCCCATCTAATATATGAAAGCGTACATCGTCACTAGTCTGAAAAACATATTGTTCTGAATGATCCGAATGTATAAGTAAATTTTGGGGTCGGAAAATTTTTCTGATAAGGAAAATCGAATTTACCATGTGTTATTCCCAAGAGCCATTCATAAGTATTCTTTCATTCTACTCAATATCGTTGTACTTTTCAACCCTCTTCGAGATATTTATGCGAAAATGGGGCACTTAAATATGTCACTATCTGACGGTCTATAAGAACATTTTTTATTTCCCAAATCTGCACTGAAAGAGACTAGATTTGAAACAGTAGAGATGCACAAGAAAAAGTGGTGGAGACCATAAAGATGTTTTCAAAAAATAATTAACACACTAATATGGTAAATAAAAAAAATTATAGGAGCAGCTGAGGAACTTGAAGAAAAGTATATTGAAGGTGATAATGTTAAAATTATGAAAGAGAAGCAATAAAATATTGTATAGCACTTATCCAGTTTGTTTTTAGCCACAGCTCGTTGGTACAGAAATATTTTTAACCTAATGAGCACACACTCGTTTCTTAAACGAAAATTTACCGTTGTATGACATAAAAATGGCATAGTAATTTTTTAAATTATACGTTTTTTGTATATCATTTAGTTGCAAATAACGTTGTTTTCTGCGACATTTGAACAATTTTTATACGTTTTAGAATTAACCAGTTTTTGACGTTTTTTACGTACGTGTACTCATTGAAAAGTAAATTTTTTTACCATTTTTCAATTTTATATGCGTTAATTTAGTAAAAAAAATTTAGCAGTTTGGTCAATAATTCTAAAAATCTCCAGTTACTCCTAAAAAAATTCAAATTTTTTTTTGATTTTGTATGTATTGATGTAAAACTTATTGGGTAGTGTGTTTTTTTAATTTATTATCTGATAATTTAACATGAACAATGTTATAATATAAACTAATGAACTTTTAATAAATGTTGCTTATTCAAGCTGATTTTGGTAAATCTAGAGCAGTCCTCAAGGGCCACGTGATATTATCAGCAATACTTCTAGCCAGCGTTGCTTTATATTTTGGTACTTCTTTATTAATAGCATTAAGGAATTCTATAATATCTTCAAGATCAGTTTTTTTCAATATGGTAATAAGCTCTCTTATTATTATCTGAAAAAGATTACTTTTAGGAAGGTCAAAATCTCACAGGGTGTCCCAGAATATAATTAAGTGTTTTTTAGAGATATAAATCGAATAACAAATAAATTTAAAAAAATAAAAGCTAGAGTAGGTACCTTTAAATAGATAAAAACCTGTACCTACAGCTACTTATTTAATTTAAAAAAAAATCTTACTTATTTGTTTTTTAGGGTTTTTCTGGTCCAATCTCTGTTTTTAGCAATAGAAATAGCTAACTGCTCTTTAAATTTGTCTTTTATAAAATTAAGCTGAATCAACAAAGCGGTTATTCGTACACCTCTTTCAGGACCGGGTTTTAAAAACTTCTCTAGTTCTCTAATTATAATCTAAAAAAATCAATGAATATAACTTTTTGCAAGTAGGTACAGGGTGTCACCAAGGTAGATATATTTCTTTAAGTCACTTAATTCACCGGTTTGGTATATATGATAAAAACTTTTTAATTAAAATGTATAGCTATACCCAGTGAAATGAAATTTCCGTTGCACGTCATCAATGATGAAAATTGTTTATCAAATTGAACAGACAAATCATTGCAGTTAGTCATATTTGTTGCTTTAAAGATTGAAGTGGGCAATTGCTATAATGTAACGGAGAGTTGTCAAATCAATATTTCTATTTATGACATGTATAATTGAACTGTCAGTATTATTTTTGTGTTTGATAAACAAATTTATTTTTTGACTTTTAAAATGCTTAAGCATTTGAATAGCCGTACGAAAGAATTAGTGGAGTGATAATTGAATCAATTATTTAAAGTTTTAAAAGATGGAGCTCAAATTAAAAATAATTTTTTTATAAAAAGATTTTTGATCTGCTCAAATTTTGTAGCAATATGTTCTTTTATGTGGTTATAACGTGCATTAGAAATTTCATTCTATTTAAGGCCGTTCTAAAAAGTTTCACGTCATGGTTTTTGCTTGCTATTTGTAGTTGAGTATAGGGAAGAGGGTAAATAACATGTACTATGTCCCGGTGATGCTACTTTTGATGTAAGGATATCGGTCACGTGATATTTACGTTTTTAACGAAATTTAGGATATAGACACATTTTTTTTTTTTATAAGATAATATTGTAAGCATTTTTTTGTGTCGACGAAATGGTTAAAATGCAAGAAAAAATGGAATCTGCACAAAAGTGCCTTATATTTTGAAATACGTGTAAAATTGGAATCAAAAGTTAAAAAGTTGTCTTAAAGTAATTGTATGACTCTAAACTAAGAGTATTTCCCTTACAAGTATTTTTTTAGTCATTCGTTCTACCCCATTCGCCATAAATTACACTAATTTACTTGTCAAAAACCCGGGACTGAATTGTGTAAAACTACTAAATAAAAAATTCTTGCAAGAGCAATACACTCATTTGAAAGTCGTGTAAACATTTTTAAACGACTTCAAAAAAAGGAAGAGGTTCTCAATTCGTCGCAATATCTTTTTTATGTATGTACAGCGATAATTCTTTACTACGGTGTCCGATTTCAATAATTCTTCTTTTATTAGGAAGGAGGTACTTCAGGGGTAGTTCCACATAAATTTGGTCAAAATCTAGTAATTGGGTCCATGAGAAAATCCTCAAACTCTTCATTTTTTTATGTATGTTTAGCGATAATGCTTTACCACCTTGTCCGATTTATATGGTTCTTTTTTTGTTAGTAAAGGGATGGTCCCATATAAATTTGGTTAAGAAGTGGTGATGGCATCTACACGTTTTTGAAGTCGGTTTTTTTAAATTTTAAATTTATAATACTTATGATAGTAATCAAATGATTTTTTGACATTTATTTTTAATTAAACACCTATTAAAAAAAAAAAACAGATCACTTTTCACCAGGTTGCAATTTTTATTTCTGCATATTAACGCTTTTGTAGACAAAAAAAAGCTTGCAATATTATCTTAGAATTAGAAAAAAATGCTTTTAAGCTATACTATATACTTTACTTTTTTATTTCTACCGTATATTTCCATGGTTAATTTTGACTTGATACATACATTTTATGTGTAATGTGGTGAAATAAATATTTTTCACTTTGAATAAATTAAACACACTACTTTTCATTGTTATTTATGTTGCTTCTCACTATAAAAATTTTATGTGATGTAGTGAAATAAATATATTTTTTTCACTTTTACTAAATATAAGCACGTTTACAGTTTTGCTTTTTATTTTTCTTTTCACTATAAGTGGATTGATATATTAGTTAGAGAAGGGACTTAAAAAATCTCACATATAATATAAACAAAATAGTTTTATTTTGTCCAATATTTTACGGATCTGTTTATTTTTTTCTGCGTATGCTCACTAATCCCAAAAACAAAAAGATGGTGGCTCACTGTAATAAATATTTATGGTTTATTGCATCTCCTAACACTCTAGATCTATGTACATTACCCGATATTAAACCACGAAACATAAACCAAAGAATCATAGAACACGTTTCATAATCGGTTGTGCTGACGCTAAACGGTCGTGTTTATGCTTTGTTTTTTAACCTTAAATTGTAAACTTATTTGATTTCCGTTAGTTATGGGCAAATAATTAACAGTTACTAATGTGTACTCTATGTTTTTAAATTAAATATCCATTTTTTTTTAATAAAAAACGAAACAAAATGTTTCAAATTAGAACTGACGAAATTTCGAGGTCAACTTCATTAATTTAAAGCTTAAAGTAAACTCTGTTTGTGCTTTTATGATTGTCCATCATGATTAGAACAGCAGTAAAGCTGTTGACAGTTCATCGTCACCAATTCATTTTACACATCATTACAACACTTTTGACGACAACGAACACGGCCGTTGATGTGATCCCAGACAGGGCGTGACGTAATAAATCATGTCACCATCTTCACTCAAAGAATTTTGTGAACTGTTATATTCTTTAATTGAGCACATTATTTTAAACCTTCTACAAGACTACAAGACCACAAGAACTTTAAGACTTCACGAATTATCTTGTAAAAATGCAAAAAGAGGTACAACATAACGAACCAGTGAATAAAAAAACATAATCTAATTTCACTATTAATACACTACACTTTCAACCTGGAGTCTTATTTAAAGGCCCCCGTAGACGTACCAGTATACTTGAAAATGTACAAGTTTGTTGCACAAGTATACTGAAACGTGTATTTGGTAATATTTGCACAAGTACGTTAATTGTAAAAGTGACATGAGACTTGTGGAAATTCTATATTTTTAGTTGTGCATGTCGGACTTGCACAAGTTAAGCGTGTGTATGTAAAAGACTTGTACAAGCTTGAAACAGCTGAGATTTGATCATCCCTAGAGTAGTTTAATTTACGATTTTGGTGCTATTAAGAATCATTTAAAAAAGAGACATCGAGAATGTTTCGAAATAATTTATTTCTATTTACGAACATAAGCCATATATGTGGTGCATTAAAAGCAAAGAGTACCAATATAGGGAAAAGAGGGAAACAGTATTTAAATATCTAGAAGAAAAATTAAGGGGAAATAGACTCAAAAGCAGATCATAATGCAGGGGTTAAAAAACGTAACGTTCCTAACGAATTACAGGAAGGAGAAGGAAAAAGTCAACAGTGGTCAACAGCGTTGTCGTTGTCTGACAATAAAATGGTTCAACTTTAATCTAGCACATTGTGCAAGTATCTTCTACGTGTATTGTCGACACGATATTGAAGCATACTTGTGCAATAAACTTGAACATGATGCATACCGTTTAAGTATACTAATACGTCTATGGGGTCTTTATTAGAGAAGATAAAAAGAAACAGCTAGCATGATCCCCGGTAGGCGGGGCTAAAGTTGGACAACAATAGTACCTAATGTTATTTCTGTCAAGAAATAAATACTTAACAATAATCGAGGAGTATGCAGATGCGAGTACCTTGCCACACTACAAACCAGGCCGGAATAGTTTTGTTTCTTCTGATCAGAAGATCAAAACTATGAAAAACTACTGTACATGATGACTTGTTCCTAATTTCTAAAAGTCAGATAGATGACCAAATAAAGATTGAAAGAGCCACGAAATATTAAAAAGCATAGTGCTTGCTGACGATTGATTTAAATTTAGGAAAATTTTGGTTTACATTTCGTATATACATTAAAACTGGAGTCAGTAGATTCTAATATAGTTAGCAGCCATACCCTAGATACAGGGTGTTCCATACAGAACAATTTTAATATGAAAACTCTTTTTAGTGTGGGCAATACAAAATATTTATAACATACAGGGTTTTAAAAATATATAAAATTTGGGACACCCTGTATTTCTTTATAGCTAATAAAACTGTCTTACCTGGATGTTTTTTCCAATAGCATCAAATCCTCCAGGGAGACCCCTTTCTTTAAAAGCTTTGTCAACATCATGCATTTGCCCCTAAAAAAGATATGCGTAAGTTACAGATATTTACAAATTTTCTATTATTAGGGAGCATATTAAATTTTTAATCTAACATGAAAAAGATAATTAACAACATAAACAATGTTTCAGAGGAATTTAAAAATTAGCATGAACTATTTTCAAAAGCGTAAAAATACCGAAGGAGTGTGAAAGGTTAGTTTTGGATGTACCATAAGGAGTCTATTTGATTTTGTAGAGGAGAAGTGCCAAATATGGAATACCATTTTGTTTTTTCCTTGTATTTTTTGTTTTTTTTTTTTTTTTTAAGAAGTTTGTACTTTTATTCATAAACATACATTAGTATTTTATTTATCGGGTTTTGATATTAGAAATGAGAAAATTTGTATACCGGCATCCTCAAAAAATAATCTTTGAAAAAGGGGAATTTTGTACCTAATGTGGAATATATACATAATATGGAATAGGGTAAGAATAAAACAATATAAATTTCAAAACATTTTATAACTTTATTAAACATATATGAATTCCTTTAAGAAACGAAGTTTAATTTAGTTTAGACCTTGAACAAGTAAAAGTAAACCTACCTATAGAAAATAAAATAAAGGTAATGTATTTTTTAATGAAATGCATATTGGCAAAACAAACTAATGTTCTTTACAAAATTCACAAATAAAAATATCAGTTTCACATCCCGAACAATCGATATGGCACCACTCTTTGCAGATAACGCATTCTATCCACTTCTCCCCTTTTCTATCATCCAAAAACTTTCCATTGCAATAGAAACAAGTAGCGTCATCTTCCTATGGTTTGTCTGCTCCAATGTCCTCCATGTCATCCTCCTCAGAAGAATTGTTTTTGAAACTCGCGAACACTTTACGCTTCACTGTTTTAGCTTCTTTTGAAGAGACTGCATTTATTGAAGTTTCTAACTCATCTTTATATGGAGATGAGGTTATAATTGCTGCCTTTCCAGGTGCCCTTCCTCTTCGAGGCCCTTCCTTTTCTTTAAAAGTTGGCACCAGTGAAATATTTTCGGGTCCAATAAATTCCCTTGCTGCTACAGTATTTTCAGCAATATTTTTGTCTGCTGTAGCTTCCCCTTCCTCAATATTTTCTTGTGTTGCAGCAAGGAAATCGCTGTCTGTGAAGATATGACGATTTGGGGTAAATATTCCTGTTTTTTAAAACCGTTAACGGCAATTGCCCCAGTTTGAACCTTTAGATACGCCTTTCCAAATAGTTCAGCTATGTCAAAATGTGTGACTGCCCTTTGATTCGATCCCAAAAATAATCTTAACTCCTCACTATAATGGGCGTTCAAAGGTCCCATTAACGTTTTATCTAAAGGTTGCATGTGGTGTGTAGAATGAGGGGGCAAGCACACTATTTCAACAAAATTATGCCTTGCCAACTTTATCATTTCCAAATTGCGACAATGCGTATGGTGTCCGTTCAAAACTAGCAACACATGATCGTTCTGTGATGGTTTTACCTTTTCAATAAAATGTAGAAACCACTAAGTAAAAATGTTGGTTTGAATCCACCCGCTTGGATGACAAACAATTTTTGTCCCAGGAGGAGCACCCTTTCCCAGTAGAACATTGGTATTTTTTCTGGGGAAGATTAGAAAAGGTGGAACAAAACTTCCTCTAGCACTCATACACAAAACTGCCGTAACTAAGGAATCTCTTTCCGCAGATGTTAAAGCTCCTACCTGCTTCGTGCCCCTAAGCGCCAGAACATATTGGACTTTCGACTGAACAATAGATAAGCCAGTCTCGTCCACGTTAAATACTCTGTCAGCTGGATATTTGTGATTTTCAAATGCTGTCTCCAAAATATTAAAAAAGAGGGTCACGCTTTCTTTATTAAAGCCTTTGGCTCTATGGATGGACGTCCCAGTTGGCTTCCTGACAGAAATTCTGTCTTTGTCTCGCTTTAGCAATAAATTCAACCATTTTCTTCCAGCGCTTTCATTATTTTTGGAAAATGGGTTTGGTAATCTATTTAAGGTAGCCAGCTGATATGCCATTCTTTCAACATCACTTCGTGTTAATCCATAAAACTTTTTTTCCATCAAAAGCAGATACTCTACCAACTGATCTTCTAACTTTTGTAGTAAGATTGCGGATTTTCCTAAATTTGGTTCAACAGCCTGGGCTAGTGTTGCATTTGACCTTAGTTGAAAGACGGAATAATGTCGTGCGTGGAACATTAAATGTATCTGCGGCTTTTTTGTACCCCATCTCGCGAATCCGCACAGCTTCGATTGCACAAACCATGTCTTGTTTCCACCATTCTTTACGACCCATGATATTTTTCTGTAAAGAAGGCTAGGAATTAATATTTGGATTATTTTAACAGAAAGCTTTTGCAGTTTTCCCATGAAATTCTATAAAAAAAGCGAAGTGTTCCTAATATGGAATATTCTAACATAGGAACAGCGTGCTATTCCATATAAGGTACACCTGGCCATTTTTCTTTTCGTTTATCAAAGTTACGTGGTAACACGCCAATCTTAGATTTCAATATAAGAAACCTAAGCTAAAGTTACATAAACATACAAGACAGAATAGGATATTACTGTATTTATTCTAACTGGGTATATCAAAATTTCGAATACATACCTTAAATAATTTACGATGCCGTGTAAAAACCGATCGAACTGCGAAATAACAACAGTTACGTTAAACGGTTCATAAACGACTGCCAGCACTCTCGTCTTGGCGTAACATGGTATTGGTGATGTTGTGGCGGTGTTGCCGCTCTTGGTTTATTAAATTTTAGGGTATTCCATGTAAGGAACATATTCCATATATGGCACATGTCCTCTAGTAGTTTATACAAAAAAAGGTAATGAAAAATGTTTCATTTACAACCATATAATATGTAGTGCTGTCATTACTAAAGTCATTGAAGGTTGGGAAGTGTCACATTAAACACCTCTACTTCCCGCCCTCACTTCCTGCCCTCACTTCCCGCCCTCATTTCATCTATTCTAGATGAATTTTTTTAAATTTAAAAATATCAGTTTTTTCTTCAATTTCTAGCATCGTTCGTATCATACTGCCCATAAAGCAGACGGCTTCTTTTCTCTGGTATGTACTCCAAAATATGCCAGGAGTACACTTTCGGAACCGATATTTTTGACCTTTTTTTCTTCGCACCACTTCATAAATAATTCAATGGCTTTTAGGTACCGATGTGATGGGCCGAAAAAATTAATGTTAAAATTTTAATTTGCAATAGCATTTAAAAGCTGCGTTTCATTATAAAAACTGCTTGCAATTTTTTTCAGAATTTTAAAATTATATTTTTAGCCCTCTACCAGCGGTACGCGACAACTCGGCGATGCAAAGCCGGCGACGGTCAACTCGGCGATGCCAAGTCGGCGATGGCCAACTCGACGATGGTAAACTCGGCGACGATCAACTCGGCGAAAAGGAATACAATAATATAATATGCAATTATTTATTATAATACAATATAATATACAATCTATAAAAAAAATTGATTAGAGAAATTGATTAATAAAATAAAAATATATAAGAGATTTTAAAAGTGGCAATAATAGTACATTATATACCTAGAGTGAGAAGTGAGCTATTATTTACCGAGCACTTTTATATCCTGAGGCGCGTAGCGCCGAGGGATATAATGTGCGAGGTAAATAATAGCTTTCTCAGCCGAGGTATATATAGAATTTTTTTTACTACTAACATTAATGTATTAGCAATTTTAATTTTGACATAAGTAATTTCCTAAGAATTTGTTAAATATTTCGAAATATCAAGCAGACTGGAGCGTGTTTCTAATCAGACTGGCTTTATTTATGTAAAAATTTGGCATGTGTCAAATTTTGGTATGATTCTAGGAAATATCCCATTGCATTTTTGATATTTTAATGACATGGATTTATTGGTATTAATTAATAATTTTTAAAGCCGGTGTTGAATTTCCTAGTTAATATATATTTTTACTGTTTACACTAATATATATTATCATATTTGATTTGAATAGATTTGATAAACCCAGCTTTAGTTATTTCCTACTTATTTTTCAAATATTTCAAAATATCAAGTAGTCTGGGAGTTTAGTTGTCAAATTAACAAAATGAAACTAATGAAATTTAGTTTCATTATTTACCTAGGTTTTTTTTTATTATCATTATTTACCTAGGGAATGGAGTAAATAATGGTGCTTTCTCATGTTAGTAGTAAAAAAAAATCAATTAAGGGTTTTAACTACAATTAGGGTTTCTAATACATATTATTAGAAAGCAAATTAAAATATTAAGGCAAAATTTAGAGCTTAAGATTTTTAAATGCAAAATAAAAATAAGATATAATATATTAAAATATTAGGTTATAAAATAAAAAAATTTAAGTAACATATTATATGCTGAAACGGAATTAAAAAATAAACTGAAATAAAAAAAGGTTGATTATAGAATACTGTTATTTATTATAATACACATTACAATTATTTATAATACATATATTTATTATAATACAATATAATATAAAAAAACTAATTCATGTTGTAATTATGTGATATCCCTCTGAGATACTCGATCAAATTTTGCCTGTTATAATTGGTCACTTTATTTAAAATCCTCTCGTCGGCTTCCTCATAACGTTTCCTTTTTGATGCGCCATTGCGCCCGGCAATTGCTCGTTCATAGTCTGCATCGTACGAAGACTACCTTTTTTAAATTATCTATGAATATCCATAACGAAGGATGAGCAATGCCAGAACAAAAAGCCAGTTGCAACTTGCGATGACATGCTTCTGCAGAATTATTTGTCCTATCTCGTCCATTCAATGTTCAAAAATAAACGGACCAAAGTGCTGATGGAAAAGTTGCTGGCACTCTAGTTCCATTATTCCTAAGTCGACCGATATAATTGCTGGTAAACCATTCTAAAATTGGTTCTAATATTTCTGGCAACTCATTTTCCAATTCGGCAATGGCCTCAATCACATCCTCTTCTGGGACAAATGCCAATGATGTTACCATTTTTGCTTGTAGTGCAAATTCGGGATCAGTATTGTACATTCCTAGGAGATTGCAAGAAGATAAATGCTTTCGAAGATTTTTGACCAAGTGGAATAAGCATTCTCTTATTTCGGCTTCTGGGAAAACTTGTCTTATGGCCTGGTGAATTGCCAACTCAAAGTCGACACTGATGCTTTCCGGATTTAATTGCGGCCAAAGAACTTTTATCATGTTAAACACATTGAGATATGTTTCTGCACTTTTATTGGGCAGCAAGCAATATAGTACAGGAAAAACTGGACCCTTCTCTTCATGCGTATCTTTTTTTGCCAGAACAACAAATATTTGAGCAAAAATTGGAGGACACAATAAGAATGTGCCGTCAACAAATAATTCTTTCATGCTTGCACTCCATGTTGCATGGTATTCTCTACCAAATATTAGAATTCGATGTGGATCCACTTGATCTCTTCCGGAATCTGCCAGCAAAAATTCTCAAATTGAGTAGGGCTGTAATAATATTGCGAGTACACTTCTGGGATGATAATTTCACTAAGAGTTTCTGGATTGGCGGGTGCTATGCACATGGTTATTCTTACTCTTTGAATGTTTCTCCGCATAACACTGGAACTTGGAAGCATTCCTTTAACCGCAGCTGGTACATTCTTCAAAACTCGTCCTCTGATTTGGGCAGGATTCTTCATCGTTGTCGCGGCCAGGTGCTTCACAGTGGTATTCATTTTTTGCAGAACAACATTTGCTGCATTTCCTACCGTACTACATGTGTGTTTATTTCGTATACATTTGAAAGAACCATCCATAATATTGGTCCATATTCTTCCTTTGCATCTTTCATGCTTGTTTTCGCAGCGCCAGAATTGAATGGTGTTGTCCTTGTTCGTTTTATCCTTCGTGTATAGGTAGCCATCCCAGTAGTACTTTTCGTGACCCCTTTGGCTAAGAACTTTATTTTCCATCTTGAGTCTCAGTAAATAAAAAACTCACACAGACAAACAAAATTACACACAATGTCTTTACTTCTGAGATGAATTCGGAATATTAAGGAAAGTGAATATCACCAGTCTTTTATAGGATGTAAGTACAAGTAAGCAGGTAATTATCAGGTGATCTTATTTTTATTTTGTTTTGAAAAATCTTAAGCCTTTAAGCAGGCAATTATAAGGTAATTTTATTTTTATTTTGCTTTGAAAAATCTTAAGCCCTTAATATTTATTTGCTTTCTAATACTAGGTATTAAAAACTCTAATTATTGTAGTTAAGACCCTTAATTGATTTTATTGCCACCTTAATTTTGTAATTCCAAACAACTCTGGCCATTAAATTTTAATTTTTTAATCAAGAAGTTTCTTTTTCAGATTCTTAGTTTTAATATTTAATATATTTTTTCCTGCATATGTTGATTTACTTTAGTAATAATAACTTTTTTCCAGTTTCTTATTTAAAATCTCTTATATATTTTTATTTTATTAATCAAATTCTCCAATAAAATTTTTTTTATAGGTTGTATCTTATTTTGTATTATAATAAATAATTGAATAATATATTATTGTATTCCTTTTCGCCGAGTTGATCGTCGCCGAGTTTACCATCGCCGAGATGACCATCGCCGACTCGGCATCGCCGAGTTGACCGTCGCCGACTTTACATCGCCGAGTTGACCTGCTCCGCTCTACCAGCCCCCAAAATAGCTAACAATAAAATTAAATCTTAAATATTAATTAGCTATACCCATTAAAAGTTGTATTTAAGCATATACACTGGTTGTTATTTTTTTAGAAACTTTAGAAATAGAGGAAAACATATCACAGTCGATGTCACGCTAATCGGTTTTGGCCAAGGATCTTATTTTAATAAACAAATTCCATTTTTTATCGGAAAACTTACCTTAAGGTTTAGAGGATCAGGTAGAGCAGCAATTATTCTGTTGGTATTTTCTTCGAATCCCTTCATAAGATTTTGTGCATGTTTAATGTTTTCCTAAAATGAAGAATTATTTATTAAATATTCATAAAAATATTTTTAAATACAAAAAGTTTTTATTACTTAACCATAAATGTGATAAAATGTCAACTTTTAAATAGACGGTTAAACTCATAACATTACCTGAATATTAAAAGGTGACCTAAGAATCTTTTGAAGAGTTTCAATAGTCAAAGTAATTATTTGTTGAAGATTTTTAGCTATTACCTCTGGTTTTAAAGGAGGAGGAGTAGGTTTTGCGATAATAACACCTTCAGGTTTTTCCTACAAATATATTTTTTTATTGAAAATGCAGTTTCGTAAATCAATTTGTTTGGAAGAAAAATTTACCTCTGGTTTGGGTTTCGAATTTTTTTGTTCATCTGATGTACTTGAAGAATTGTTTGAGTTTTCGGTATTACCATCTTTTTTTTCTGTATTTTTTTCCTAAAAATTATTTTTACTATATTTGCTATTTTTTGTAATATTTTTGACACGCGTGATTGTTGAGCAGTTAGCAATGATTTAATATTATTTGGGATCCTAACTGATATTTAAAAGTTATAGTTCCTACATATTTGTGCAAACTTATATCTATATAATGTGTAGGAAAAGTATGTGTAAGGTAGGCACGAATCCTAAATCCATGTTTATTAAGGTGGAGCGAAAAAAAATTTAATTATTTTTTACTATATAATACTTAAGAAAAGTTGCCTCTGCAATTATTAAGCTATTTTCTAAAATTTCAATAAAAAAAAAATTACTTCAGGGCTCAACAATTTTTAAAAACAAAAAAAATATTTTTTGTAACTTTTAATACATACTGAAAGTTACTTATAAATAAACTATTTCTAGTTTATAATCGTTTATGCACGGCGAATTTTGTGGCTCTAGATCTAGATCTTTGTTTTAAGTTGTAATGAGTTTTTAGGGGTAGTACTGGAGCTGCTAATTGTCCTAAATTTGGTGACCAGCGAATATACCCTTTAATGTTTTGCCAACTGTGGAAAATATCATGAATCGATATTTGCTTATTCGAAATGAACTTAAGGTTTTGACCTCTGGTAAAGACCCCAGTATTTTAGAAATTTCTCAAATTCTTGCGAATGAAATCGAAGTGATCTGGGAAAAAGGTTCAATTCCCACTATTACGAAAAAGTTGAGATATCCTAGGTAAGTGCAAAACCCTTATTAGATATCCTAAAAGTAAACGAAATGACAATAATTATAAGTTCAAAGTTGAGAAATAAAAAGGCGATTCAAAGAAATTATTCGATATTGCTGCATGTAAATGTGCTTCTATTGATACATGTGGCAGTGTTAAAAAACGCAAAATACCAAATATAGTGAAAGAATTTATTCACGACCAACGAACTGTGAGAAAATTTGTTATTAGAAAAATAGACGTTACTGAAACAAATAAATTAAAAGCCAAAGAAGAAAGAAAAATTAAGATCAAGGCGTATGCAAATCAGCTACGTTTTAAATTTAAAGTAGACAATGAGAACATTGAAAACTTTGAGCAAAACAGTATTTCTTATTCATCTGAGTCTAAGATGTCAGTAGAGCTTGAGAATTTGACAGAAAAAGAAGAAGCTAAGTCGGAGCTTCCATCAACATCAGGTTGCAGTACAAGCCAGCAAATGAGATTGCCTATTCCTAACGTAGAAGAGGGGGTGGGTGGCTCAGTGTTAGAGTCTCTGCCTGTGGATCCAAGGGTCTCAGGTTCGAATCCCACCGTTGGCCGGGATTTTTTATTTAATTTAATTATTTAAAATTAATTATGATGCCTTGGTAGGATTCTCCACTCGACCATTCACTGTTGGGTTCTAATTAACAATGCTGTTTCTGAAGTGGCGCTGGGAAACAGTAACAAAGCCTACACAGAACATAAATGATTGAGAATTTAAAAAAAAAATTGAGACAGACATATTAGCTTCATACACCTAGGCCATAAACAAAAAAAAAATCCCAACATAGCTCGTATTTTTGACCAATTTTGCATTTCTGACCGTTCTACAGCAGTGCTTGCATTTGCTGCATTGCAGAATTTGGGACCAAAGAAACATCGTCTTCACTTATTGACCGAAGTAGGGTCCGAAATGCTTGTCAAAAATACCGTTTTGATTTAAAAAGCGAATTCCAAACATCCACTTTGAAAATTAGAGCATTATACTTCGATGGAAGAAGGATAAAACCATGTGTCAGGAAAAAAGTAGAAACAAATTGTTACAAATTACACAAAATGTATTACTTTTAAAAATATGTGTGTTATACCTTTTGACCACTTAAAAAGTAAATGTACTTTGCATTGCATGTACGGTTTTTAAAAGAGTCAAATCTCCTATGCCTGTTGAGAACTCTGAAAACACAGTTTTATTTTTGTGGGTTAGCTCTAAATGAGTCGCCTATGACACTTTATTCCAGAGTAACTTCGCAGGTTTGTTTGGAGTAAAATATCCACTTTTTGTTAAACTCTCAAAAATATTTTTTTAGCAATTCATAGATAAAAAATGTTATTTATATTTTTGAATAACACACTTATTTTGAGCACTTATTACAAAAACAAATATTTTTGTATAGCTGTTTTTTAAAGCCTACAATAAAACCGAATCTATTTATTTACTTTGCGAAATTTGTATTCAAGCTAACAAGAAAAAAAATAAGAATCACTTTATTTCCATTACTGTGACTGCCTTCATCAGTTTCTGAACTGCCGTTTGACCGTCTTCAGGTTCCAAATTTTTTTGATAGAAGTCATAATAAGTGGATGGAATGCTACCTCTCTGGCAAAGTTTTAACAGGTCGTTCAGATTTTTAGGTCTATTTTCGGTTGGACGCAGTACAATCTATAATAAATACACTTCGTCGCCATCTGTGCTAAATATTTAATGACTTGAGTCGTTGTTGCTCAATCGATATTTATACTAAATAGTTGTCGGCTCACCTTTGCGATATTGAAACCACTTTACTTCTAACCACTTCATTTTTCACCATCTTCCGAGTGAATTTTGTTGGTCATTACTTGGATACTGTATTTCTTGTAATTTAAGAAATCAAAATACTCCATTTCCATAACCTTGTGGTACGGTTTATTTATTTTCACGGTACGAGCGACCATGTACCATCCATCTGGTGTAAATACGTCAACTTGCCTTTCACGGGCCTCTATTGTCGAGTGAACAGAATCGCACTCCATTTCTGAGTGCCCTGATTCCATAAGTTTTTAATTCATTTTATCGATGGGTAGCTATTACACGGCTTGTAAGAATATTGTTGGTACAACTGAGTTACGATTCTGACCTGATTCTGTGTGTGAATATAGAATTATTTCTTTCTTCGAACCTAATGAAACGAAAAGCTTCTACAGGCATGTGGCAATTTCCGAAGCCCCCTTTGTACCTGAACCTTTGTGCCACATATAGTTTGTCGCTTGTCTAGAAGCCAGGTCATTCACTGTAAAGTTGTATGTCATCAGTTTTTTTTTAATATAGCTAACCTATTTGCAAACTAGGCGTCAACAATATTTTTTCCAGATCCATGGCGAAACTACTTACGTTTAAATCAGTTTTAGCTAAGGGCCTTGTCAAGTTTTGTATGTTCTTTGGCTTCTTCTTTTCGGATTAGGTGTTTTCATCATAAAAAGCGTATTTTGTTCTGTTTTGTTTGGCGAGTAAGAAAGATAATACTATGCTCACAGACATAAGAAAATCATTTAATGTGAGTTGGTACTATTGGCAGGCGTTTGTTGCCAAACATTGCTTAGAAAGTTGTAGTGGTCAAAAACTTTAAGCCGCTTGGATCTATTTAATGATAAGATAATAGATGAAAATATTAGTAGTCAAACGATTTTTGCGGCTTGGCCTCCTTGACTGCTATGGTGTATGTTGACTAGATCTATTGACGAAATGTAAAAATACGTTAAAATAGGATATATTGTGGCTGAAATACATTGACCATGGCATTTTTGATGATTTTTAAGAGCTTTAATGCACTTAACTAATTTTTATCAAATTTGTGGCTTGACTCCCTTGACCTCTACGGCCACGATATATCATTGCTCGAAAAACCAGATTCAAAATGTATGGGTCACATTACACCAACAACAGGTAAGAAGAAACATATTGCCATATCTGTAGTTAATCATCTACAATAATTTGACATCGGTACAAATAAGCTTTGAGTAGTAGGCTGCGATGGTACAGCGGTTAATACAGAAAGGAAGAATGGCAGTTTGCGGAATTCAGAAACAAAACTGAAACGTCCACTGCAGTAAATGATATGTCAGCTACATATGAATGAACTACCTTTTCGTCATATTTTTAAGATTTAAAAACAATCGCTGAATTTGTGGTAAAAGTTTATGTGCCAGTGTGGTTAGACATTAAAAGAAAACCATCGTGTAGTGATGGATAAAGACACGTCTTTAAAATGATACAGTTGTCACGCTACTTGAACAACGAAATAATGGCAGTCATCCATCCTGTTATCAAAAGAAAACCGTAATTTTGTCATCTGGAGAATTTTCTTCTAGCAATTCTTTCTGATGATCGTCCTGCTATAAGACAACTTCGCTTACGAAGAATATTGAAGGCGTGTACAAAAATATCTACAGACGTAAGGGAATTTGTTATTCCTGAATTAGATTTCGATACCAGTAAATATTATGAGCTTATTGATTGACAGAATTACTCAGTTACAGCACCATCTCATTTAAACACTGCAACTGATGGATATATCAGAGAATTTATAAACGATACAGGAACTTGTCCTGTAGATTTTCGGTCCTTTCCCTGCCATACAAAGACAGCAGGGAGGTGTGTGAAGGTTGTAACAGAAGCTTCCAATTCTGTTGTCGGCCATGTCTCCAGAGATGAATTTATTCCTGCAAGGATTTATTCTAGAACCATACCAACTCGAACACTAAGGCGGAATACAATGCATGAATTTCATGTACCTAGTTTTTTTGTTTGCTCATCTATGTTATATTGTTGAGTTGTACTCGCTTTTGTTTATAG